ACAGGGCATGCGCCACCTACGCCCCGTAATTTTTTGTATTTTTCAGTAGAAGACAGGGTTTTTCATCCATATGTGTTGGCCAGTACTTGATCCCTGAACCCCTGATCCTCAGGTGATCCGCCCATCTTGCCTTCTGTAATCCCAGCTACTCAGAAGGCTGAGGCAGGAGAATCACTTGAACCTGGGAGGTGGAGGTTGCAGTGAGCCGAGATCGCACCACTGCACTCCAGTCTGGGCAACAGAGTGAGACTCCATCTCAAAAACAAACAAACAAAAAATTATGTATTCCTCTCATGCTCAATGTGCTCAGTAAATCTACACCTTACATAAGACAAACACACAGCAGAGGGAGAAGTCAAATATGCATTCCTCTGGGGTGGGCGGTGGGACTATTTCTAGTCTCCTCTTGTCCCATACCCGTCAAGATAAGCTGCTCACTTACATTTTCAGGGTGAGGGAGGCCAGCTGGGGAGATACCTGTTTAAGAAGAGAAGGAAAGGCAATTGTTTATGTGTGACTCAGTTTCCAAACTTAACTTTCCCTTTTGGCACAGTGAGTTGGGGGTCCCGAGATTTTATTTTCCTTTCATACATGGAAGGTGTAAAAAGTAAAGTAGAGGTTCCTCTTCAAAGACTTTCCTCCCCGTCTAATTAGGAATAAATAGTAACTTCTCTTAGAAGCAAAATTTATTCAAAGACCTGTGCTAACATTCTTAAATATCTGCGAGCTGTAATAAAGAAATCAATATACTTTATGTTCTTAGCTTCTAATATTTGCCCTGGCATGCTTATACTGGTCCAAGCAAGCATTAGGCCATAGCCTGTTCTTCTTCCTTATTTAAAAGTGTTTTTACCTTTTTCAGCATTCTACAACTTACTTCCTCCTTCCTTTGTTCCCCTCTACCTTTGCCTCTTTTAAAAAGTTCTAAGTCGCTAGCCAATCGGGACAGATACAGAATGTGAGGTCCCGTTCCAGCCAACGGAAACCAGACACAGCAGTGGGGTGGACGCGTCAGGTTATAAACGACCCTGTCTCCTTTGTTCGGTGTACTCTTGCGGCAAAACTGCTGGTGAGTGTACCCTTTCTGGCAGGAAGTAAAAATGGCCTTACTAAATAAATTAAATTTATGTCCAAGTACTATTTATTTATAACACCGAGGAACAAACATTTCAAACAAAGGGCTCAAACTTAGTATTATTCCCAGTTAACTGCTGAGGAAACTGAGGCTGAAGGATGTAGATTTTCCCGATCACACAGGTCTGCCTGAGTCCAAGGCAGGGGTTGTGTCTAAACCCCTAAGGCAGATGGGGGCCCTTTAAGCCCCCTTCCAGCTTTGAGAGTCCTCTGTTCCATGCCTGGATCTCTTCCTTCTGGGAGCGCTGCTCTCTTGGGCTTTGGATCCCTGGAAGGACAGTGCTGTGCCCATAGGGGACTGAGGAGATGACAGCCTGGCGTTTGACTTCATGCAGGAATTTCACACCTTCCCAGACCTTAGAGTGCAGGTGGAGAGTGTCTGGCAGAGAAGGCGCCAAGTACTGCCTGCTGAGGCTGGGAAGGACTGCTCCCATGGCGAGCGAGGCCAGCGGCTCCTTCTCCTGCCCTGGCCACCTGTTTCCCAGCCCTCCCCTCCCCACCTCTCCATCTTGGAATGTTAAATGCAAAGCTGGTGGGCTGGCTGGGTATTAGTAACTCGACTCTGACAGACTCTGACATCTACACTGATAAGAAAGGCGTTTCCTACTGGAGCCAAGGCATCTGCGTGCCTTCTCAGCCATCTCTCCAACCCCTCCGTGACCCTGAAGAGAATGAGGGTGGCAGGATAATAATAGTAACCATAGTTACCCTGTTTTGATTGCTGTACAGTGCCAGGCCACTGTGCCAAATGCGTCACCCACATTGTTGCATTCAATCCTACAGCCACCCCTTCAGGTACTTTTAGTATCTCCATTTCAGATATGAAACAACTGAGGCTTGTGAGAGGTCAAGAACTTGCCCTAGGCCACACAGCAAGTGAGCTGCAGAGAGAAACTCAAATCCTATCCTCCAGCAGCACCAAGCCCTCGTCTTCTCCCCTCTAGTGGGTGGTGAGAGCCAGAGGGAGGCACGCTGCTCCGGCTGGCTGGTGCGCAACGGAAGCTCTGTGCCTGGTTTCTTCAACTTCCAGGAACAGAGTGAACTAGGATGGGACACAGAGGGAGGGGACGAGCTTCCAGGAAGCCACCTTTCCAGTGGATGAACAGCAGGATCAGGGCTGTTGGCCCAGGCCTCGTGATGGCCCCAGGGGCCAGGGGCCAGGGGCCAGGGGCCAGGGGCAGGGCCAGCCTGGGAGAGGGGCCCTCCCCAGGCTTCTAGAGTGAGGAATCGGGTAACAGGAACATCTGTTCCTGCCCAGGGAAGGCGAGGTTGTGCTTGGAGCAGGCGGGGCCTTTCCGCCTCTGCCCATCTCTTCTCCTCTGGTCCCTGGTTCTCCATCCATCGCTCCTCCCTTCACCCCTTTCAGGTGCTTCATATTTGGAGTCTCCCAGGAAAAAGGGAAAATCACAGGGGGAGGAGAGCAGAGTAGCCCATTTGTTCAAGCCTCTCAGTCACAGAGGCTGCAAATTTAGCCTTTTGATCTTGGCTTCTGAGTGGCAGTGAGGCATACTGCTTAAGCCTGCAGCCCCTGGAGCCAGATTCCTGCTGGGCCACCCTTCCAGGGCCGCCCCTTAATGCGGCCTAACCTGCAGGTTCCTTAACCTCTCTGTGCCTCAGTTTCTCTGTCTGTAAGATAGGGATAAATACTTCACAAGATTTTTGCAAAAATGCAGTGAGTTGATAAATGTAAAGTAGACATTTCTGTAAGTGTGAAGCCTGGCACAGAATAAGCACTTTCTCAGCGTTAGTTGCTGTTTCCAAATGAAGTTACATACAGAATCATGGATAGAATGGAGAGAAGGCATCCATCAACGAAATTTTCAAAAACAGTCCCCTGGCCAGACGCGGTGGTTCATCCCTGTAATCCCAGCATGGGAGGCCGAGGCAGGTGGATCACGAAGTCAGGAGATTGAGACCATCCTGGCTAACACAGTGAAACCCCGTCTCTACTAAAAATACAAAAAAAAATAGCTGGGAGCAGTGGCACATGCCTGTAATCCCAGCTACTCGGGAGGCTGAGGCAGGAGAATCGCTTGAACCCTGGAGGCGGAGGTTGCATTGAGCCAAGATCGCGTCACTGCACTCCAGCCTGGACGACAGAGCAACACTCCGTCTCAAAAAATAAAATAAAATAAATAAAATAAAATAAATAAATAAATAAAATAAAATAAAATAAAATACAGTCTCCTATAACTACACCACTCAGCACAACCACCAACCCCATTTCACTCTATTTCCTTTAGATTTTTTCCTGTTCATCATTTTTATAACATCGTAACCATCATGTGCTTAAAAGTTGTAAAACTTTGGCTGGGCATGGTGGCTACGCCTGTAATCCCAGCACTTTGGGAGGCTGAGGTGGGCGGATTACTTGAAACCAGGAGTTTGAGAACAGCCTGGCTAACATGACAAAACCCCCTCTCCACTACAAAAGTTAGCTGGGTGTGGCGGTACATGCCTGTAATCCCAGCTACTCGGGAGGCTGCGGCAGGAGAATCGCTTGAACCCATGAGGCGGAGGTTGCATTGAGCAGAGATCGTACCACTGCACTCCAGTCTGGGTGACAGAGTGAGATTCTGCATCCAAAGAAAAAAATAAATAAATAAAAAGAGTTGTGTAACTTTGGGACTTTTTTTTTCATTTAACATTTTATTCTAAGCATTTACTATAATAATTCAGTAGGTTTTTGTTGAGGGTCTACTACGCACCAAGCATTGTTCTAAACTCTGAGTATACAGCAGCCAACAGAACAAAGCCCTTCTTCTCCAGGAACGGAACAGACAAGGCCCGTCTCTCAAGGACTTGGTGACATTTCCCACTGGGCATTGATTGCTACATGGTCTTAGAGCTCATTCTTTTAAATTGAGGTCTAATTTCACACAGTAGAGTGCACACATATAAAATGTGAAGTTCAGTGAATGTTCATGTGTGTAGTCACCCATGTAACCACTACCCACCTCAAGAAACAGAACATTTCCAGTGCTCCAGAAGATTCCCTCACCTTCCCAGTCAATAACTACCTTTCTTCCCCTCATGTAACCTTCTGGCTTCTATCAACATAGATTAGTTTCACCTGTTTAAGAACAAGATCCACTCTTTTGAGAATGTCCGCTTTCTAACGGCTGCAGAATATTTTATCCTATGGATATGTTTTTGGACACGTTTTGCTTTTAGTTTCTCACCGTTATCAATAATGTTACCTTGGACCAGGTGCAATGGCTCACGCCTGTAATCCCAGCACTTTGGGAGGCCAAGGCAGGTGAATCACCTGAGGTCAGGAGTTCGAGACCAGCCTCGCTAACATGGTGAAACCCCGTCTCTACTAAAAATACAAAGAAAAAAAAAATGAGCTGGGCATGGTAGTGCACACCTGTAATTCTAGCTATTCAGGAGGCTAAGGCAGGAGAATTGCTTAAATCTGGGAGGCAGAGGTTGCAGCGAGCTGAGATCATGCCACTGTGCTCCAGCTTGGGCGACAAAGCAGGACTCCGTCTCAATAATAATAATAATAATAATAATAATAATAATGCTACATTGAATGTCACATTTTAAATCATTTCCTTAGGCTACAGACTCTCAGAAGCAGGACTGATATTGAAAGCATCTTGGTAAATACTGACAGACTGCTTTCCTAAAAGAGTGTGTGGCACTAACAGTGAATGTAACTGGAGGGGCAAGCTATGGGTGCATAGCATCACTACAGTGTCCACCTCAACTCAATTGTCTACTTCCCTATCCCTGTTTGAGCTTGAATACTCAGCATATAATACAGTGGTCCGGAAGGGTGTCTCCACGAGAAGTCTGAACACCATGAGAAAGATCCACAAGACTCTCTTGGTGAAGTTGCCATAATAGGGAGTTTGGGCCTCAACTTTACAATGTCAAAACTCTAACTTTTTGCTTACATTAAGAGAGGATTCACCCTTGGGCTAACAACAATGAAGCAACAGACTCTGACTCAATCATAAAGCAGACACCAATCTGTGAGTTTACAAAGATAAATTTATCAGTCAAGTATGCAAGAATGTGTGTATATCAAAAGATTGGTGTGTCCTCCCTTGTTAGAAAGCCACAGGGGAAGCCAAATGATCAACAGAAAATTTCTTGGTGTCTCAGTCTGAGTCAGAAAGCAGAGAAGGAAGCCCTGAGATGTGTGGAGAGGCACCCTTATCTTCAGCTCAAAAGACCCCCTCAGCTCTGAGCCGATAAGGAGCAGTGAGTTTTCCCTACGTCCAGCAGTTCCTTGGCTATTCCTCCTTCCCATCCCAAACTTCAAACACCAGATCCTGTGCAATCTCCCACCTGCCCTTAAATCGACTTCTTTCCATCGCCTCATTCACAGCCTGGTCCAGACCACTATCATCTCTTGCCTAAACTTTTGCAACTCATCTCTCCTTGCCCTCTTGCTCACTCTTGATCCAGTCTCCATCTGCCAGCCAGAGTGATCTTTTGGTTTTTGAGACTGAGTTTCACTCTATTGCCCAGGCTGAAGTGCAGTGGTACAATCTTGGCTCACTGCAATCTCCGGCTCCTGGGTTCAAGCAATTCTCATGCCTCAGCCTCCCAAGTAGCTGGGATTACAGGCATGTGCCACCACGCCTGACTAATTTTTGTATTTTTAGTAGAGACGGAGTTTCACCATGTTGACCAGGCTGGTCTCAAACTCCTGACTTCAAATGATCTGCCCACCTTGGCCTCCTAAAGTGCTGGAATTACAGGTGTGAGCCACCTCACCTGGCCTAGAGTGATCTTTTAAACTGGACATATGAGTGTGTTTAAAGTCTCTACCTAGTTGAATGTGTTGGCTCACAACTATAATCCCAACACTTTGGGAGGCCGAGGCAGGAGGATCACTTGAGGCCAGGAGTTCAAGACCAGCCTGGGCAACATAGCAAGACTATGTCTCCACATAAATAAACAAACAAATAATTAGCTGGGTGTGGTTGCACGCACCTGTGGTCTCAGCTACTTGGAAGGCTGAGATGGGAGGATTGCTTGAGCCCAGGAAGTCAAGGCTGCAGTGAACCACGATCATGTCACTGTACTATAGCCTGGGCAAAGAGCAAGACCCTACCTCAAAAACAATAAAAATAAAATAAATAAAATCTCTACTTAAAACTCTCTGGTGATTGACAGGTTAACAGATGAACAAAACACAGTATATACATAAAACGGAATGTTATTCAGTCTTAAAGAGGAAGGAAATTCTGACACATGCTACAACATGGGTGAACCTTGGAGACCTTACACTAAGTGAAATAAGCCAGACACACACAAAAAAGTGCTGAATTATTCCATTCATGTGAGGTACCTAGAATAGTCAAATCATAGAGACAGAAAGTAGAGGCCGCGCACAGTGGCTCACGCCTGTAATCCCAGCACTTTGGGAGGCCGAGGCAGGCAGATCACCTGGGGTTTGAGACCAGGAGTTTGAGACCAGTCTGGCCAACATGGTAAAACCCCGTCTCTACTAAAAATACAAAAAATTAGCCAGGCATGGTGGCAGGCACATATAATCCCAGCTACTTGGGAGGCTGAAGCAGAAGAGTCGTTTGAACCTGGGAGGTGGAGGTTGCAGTGAGCTGAGATTGCACCATTTCACTCCAGCCTAGGAGAAAAGAGTGAAACTCTGTCTTAAAAAAAACAAGTAAAATAGTGGTTATCACATTACCAGGGGCTGGGGAGAGAGGGAATGGGGAACTATTGTTTAATGGATACAGAGTTGCAGTCCGGGATGATAAAAAAAAAAACCCTGAATGTCCCAGCTGGGTGGCTCACACCTGTAATCCCAGTATTCTGGGAGGCTGAGGCAGGTGGATCACTTGAGGTCAGGAGTTCGAGACCAGCCTGGCCAACATGATGAGACCCTGTCTCTACTGAAAATACAAAAATTAGCCGGACATAGTAGCACATGCCTATAGTCCCAGCCACTTGGGAGGCTGAGGCGGGAGGATTGCTTGAACCGGGAGGTGGGGGTTGCAGTGAGCCAAGATCACACCACTGCCCTCCAGCCTGGGAGACAGAACAAGACTTCATCTCAAATAATAATAATAATAATAATAATAATAATAGTTCTGGATGGTGGTAATGGTTGCACAACAATATAAATGTATTTAATGCTGTTGAACTATACAGTTAAAATGATTAAATCAGCAAATTTTGTTATCTCTATTTTACCACAATTAAAAAAAAAAAAAAAAGACCCTTGCTGACCTGTTGCTTTTATCCCCAAATCCATAACATGATCTACGAGACCCGATAGGATCTCACCCCCGCTTGTATAGGGGTTTTAAGGCTAAACTTTATAACTTCTTCCCCTTCCAGTTGGGATCTAGACCTATTAGGAAATCCAAATGGCTATCAAGGCAATGGAGAGATAAAAATATGCGACTTATTACTGATAAAGTTGGGCTTTGGAAGCAAACGCTTGTATTTATAGCCACAATGGAGGTTCCTAGTGTCTTCCTCTCCCCATCCTCTCCCCCCAGCTCTTGATTTAAACTTCCAGCTGAGGCCTGCATAGAGCAGCTGGACAGGTCGTCCTGAATGCCAAGCATGCTCCTCCCTCCGCTGCTCACTTAGCTCATTTCTGCCTCTGGGTCATTTCTTAGCATAAGTGTCACATGTGGCTGGGCATGGTGGCTCACACCTGTTATCCCAGCACTTTGGGAAGCTGAGGTGGGCAGATCACTTGAGGCCAGGAGTTCAAGACCAGCCTGTCCAACATGGCGAAACCCCGTCTCTACTAAAAATACAAAAATCTAGCCAGGTATGGTGGTGTGTGCCTGTAGTCGCAAGCTGTCTGTGAGGCTGAGGAAGGAGAATCGCTTGACCCAGGAGGCAGAGGTTACAGTGAACTGAGATCACACCATTGCACCCCAGCCTGAGCAACACAGTGGGACTGTCTCAAAAAAAAAAAAATTCTGTCATATGCTCAGAGGCCTTCCGTGGCCCATACTACCTCCTCCCTGCCTCCAAATAAGTCTCATGCTTCTCCTGCGTAGCACTTTCCAGAACTGTGTCTGTGTCTCTTTCCATGATCATTGTGGGTATAAATAAGAAGGCAAGTTTCATGAGAACAGGCACTGTGCTATGGTCTCCATGTGTCCCCCTAAAATTCATGTTAAAACTGAATTGCTAGTGTGATAGTATTAAGAGGTATGGCCTTTAGGATGTGATTAAGTCATGAAGGTGGAGCCGTCATGGGTAGGATTAGTGACCTTATAAAAGGGGTGCAAGAGGCCGGGCGCGGTGGCTCATGCCTGTAATCCCAGCACTTTGGGAGGCCGAGGCAGGCGGATCACGAGGTCAAGAGATGGAGACCATCCTGGTCAACATAGTGAAACTCTGTCTCTACTAAAAAAAAAAAAAAAATTAGCCAGGTGTGATGGCATGTGCCTGTAGTCCTAGATACTCAGGAGGCAGAGGCAGGAGAATCACTGGAACCCAGGAGGCGGAGGTTGCAGTGAGCCGAGATCATGCCACCGCATTCCAGCTTGGCAACAGAGCGCAAATCCGTCTCAAAAAAAAAAAAAGAAAAAGGTAAAAGGGATGCAAAGGAGCTATTCATCCCTTTTTGCCCTCCCACTTCTGCCTTGTAAGGATGCAGTACCAAGCCACCATCTTGGAAGCACAGAGAGCAGCTCTCACCACAGATAGAATCTGCTGGTACCTTGATCTTGGTCTTTGCAGTCTCTAGGATTGGGAGAAGTAAATTTCTGTTGTTTATAAATTACTCAGTCTAAGGTATTTTGTTATAGCAGCATGAACATATGAAGACGCACTGTGTATGCTGTATGTTTCCTTCATGGCCATATCCCCAGTGCCTAGCATGGTGCCTGGCACTTTGGCTCCCATACACATTGGAGAATATTCCATTCACTAGCACTCCTCTCCAGGAGAGGTCTGTATACTCTTGGAAGACAAATGTGGATAAGGCTTGGGGCCGGGAGGTCAGGGGCCAGCCTAAGTAACATTCGCAGGTACATGGATTAGCGGGCCTTGTGGGGTCTACAGTTTGTCCAGGGCCCAAGATGTCAGCACCATCGAGAAGCTAAGTGTGGTTGGTTATCTGTGCCTCCTTCCCAGCCACTGCTCTAAATAACCATAGAGCAAATATTTGAAGAATGTCAGCTTAAAGGAGTGTCTCGCTCTGACCCTCAAATCTCAATTTCTTTTTAAATTGACAAAAATTGTATATATTACACATGTGTACAACATAATACTTTGAAATATGAATACATTGTGGAATGGCTAAATTTAAGGCCCAGTGTAAATGCTACCTCCTCTCTAAAGCTTTCCTATCCGCCATTTCCCTCCACAGAAGCACAGTTTGGATTTCCTCCCCTGGGCTGTGTAACCTCAGCTGGCACTAGTTGAACTGTACTGTCTGTATATTTATATGTCTGTCTCTCCTCCCAGAGGAAGTCCATGAGGGCAGGGACTTTATCTTTTCGTTCACTGCTTTTTCTTAGCATCAAGCACAATTTCTTGCATGTGGTAGATATTCACCAAATACCTGTCGACTTAATGAACAAAGTGCCACCATGTGCCAGGCACTAGTTGACTTCTGAGAAGGGGTATACGTCAAGACATTTGTTAGCCACCCACCAGCCTCTGAATTTAAGCCTGCCAGTAAGCCCCATCCTTCAGGACACAGAGCTTGGTCAAGAAGGGGCCCACAACCCTATCCCCTACTCCCTACTCCCTAGCCCCTAGCCAATCAGGTCCAACAAGACTTAAATTTTAGGAATCTTGTTTGAGGAATAGAGAAGCTGACTTTCTCATTCCTGCAGGATGTGAACTCATAAGGCTGAATTCCCACTGGTGACCCCCAGGCCCACAAGGGAAGCCAGCCTTAAGACGAAGGCAGCATCATGGGAGGCAGAACAGAGGAAACTGGTGTCTTTGGTGACAGGTGAGCTGCTGAATCAAACTTCCTTCCTGAAGCTAGCCCTCCCGTCTCCATTTCTCTTAGGTATATGTACCAATCATTCCTTTCAGTCACTTTGTTTCTGCTCTTGCAACATGAAGCGTCCAGAAGAGGCCAGAGAATCACAGGAAACCCAAGATTTAACACCTCAGGACCTGCTGAGGAGATGGGTGAATCCTCAGTTTAGGACACTCTCAACCCTCACATCTAGTATGGTTTTCAGATGGTGGCACCCCAGCAGCTCTTGGACACAGGAGAAGGAGATGTGAACCTGGGTCTTAACCATCAGCTGCTCTAGCTGTTCTCAGTCCTCACCAAGAAGACAACTAGGACCCATCCAAAGACAAAAACAGCCAAAGTTATACCTGGCACAAGACCTTTGTGGGCCCCCAGATCACTTGTCTCGGAGGCTGGATCAGAAATAAACATTTTGGTCTTATTATAAGCATAGTGGAGGTGTAGGATTGAAAAATCAGAGTGTTGGAGCTGGAAGGATCCTTAGAGATGAGCTGGTCAGACCCCCTCATTTTGCAGATGGGGAGACTGAGGCCCACAGCAGGGAGGAGTCTTTCTTGCTCAAGATCACACAGCGTGTTAGTGCCAAAGCTAGTACCCTCCCTAAAGGAGTTTCTCCCTTAGCCTCCCCCTGCAGAAATGGGGCTAAGGAGACTGGGCGCAGTGGCTCACGCCTATAATCCCAGCACTTTGGGAGGCCGAGGCGGGTGGATCACCTGAGGTCAGGAGTTTGAGACCTGCCTGGCCAACATGGGAAACCCCATCGCTAACAAAAATACAAAAATTAGAGTGTTCAATCTGCTTCCAGATGGGCGAGAAGACTCGTGGTCTGGTTCTTGGACTTCCCTAACAGCATGGCCCCTAAATGCCAGTCTCCACTGCCTCAAAAGAAGAAACCAAGACCACCGCCTGCTCTGGGACCGGAGGAGACATTGGCCTCTGCAGGCTTGCTGAAGAAGGGAGAAAAAGAACAGCAAGAAGCAATTGAACACATTAAGGAAGTACAAAATGAAATAGACAGACTTAATGAACGAGCTAGTGAGGAGATTTTGAAAGTAGAACAGAAATATACCAAACTCCACCAACCATTTTTTCAGAAGAGGTCAGAATTGATCACCAAAATCCCAAATTTTTGGGTAACAACATTTGTCAACCATCCACAAGTGTCTGCACTGCTTGGGGAGGAAGACGAAGAGGCACTGCATTATTTGATCAGAGTTGAAGTGACAGAATTTGAAGATATTAAATCAGGTTACAGAACAGATTTTTATTTTGATGGAAATCCTTACTTTGAAAATAAAGTCCTCTCCAAAGAATTTCATCTGAAGGAGAGTGGTGATCCATCTTCAAAGTCCACCAAAATCAAATGGAAATCTGGAAAGGATTTGACGAAACGTTCAAGTCAAACGCAGAATAAAGCCAGCAGGAAGACGAAGCATGAGGAACCAGAGAGCTTCTTTACCTGGTTTACTGACCATTCTGATGCAGGTGCTGATGAGTTAGGAGAGGTCATCAAAGATGATATTTGGCCAAACCCATTAGAGAACTACTTGGTTCCTGATATGGATGATGAAGAAGGAGAAGAAGAAGATGATGATGATGATGAAGAGGAGGAAGGATTAGAAGATACTGATGAAGGGGATGAGGATGAAGGTGAAGAAGATGAAGATGATGAAGGAGAGGAAGGAGAGGAGGATGAAGGAGAAGATGACTAATAGAACACTGATGGATTCCAACCTTTGTTTTTTAAAATTTTTTCCAGTCCCTGGGAGCAAGTTGCAGTCTTTTTTTTTTTTTTCCTCTTGTGCTCAGTCGCCCTGTTCTTGAGTTCTCTTTTCTCTACTCCATGGTTCTCAACTTATTTGGGGGGAAATACCTTGAGCAGAATACAATGGGAAAAGAGTCTCTACCTCTTTCTGTTCAAAGTTCATTTTTATCCCTTCCTGTCTCAACAAAAACTGTATGGAATCAACACCACCGAGCTCTGTGGGAAGAAAGAAAACCCTGCTCCCTTCGCTCTGCTGGAAGCTGGAGGGTGCTAGGCCCCTGTGTAGCAGTGCAAAGAATTCTAGCTTGTTTCCTCCTTTCTCTGTATGTTGGGCTCAGAGAGTACACTGTGTCTCTGTGTGAATATGGACAGTTAGCATTTACCAACATGTATCTGTCTACTTTCTCTTGTTTAAAAAAAGAAAAAAAAACTTTAAAAAATGGGGTTATAGAAGGTCAGCAAAGGCTGGGTTTGAGATGTTTGGGTGGGTTAAGTGGGCATTTTGACAACACGGCTTCTCCTTTGGTATGTTTAATTGTGATATTTGACAGACATCCTTGCAGTTTAAGATGACACTTTTAAAAATAAATTCTCTCCTAATGATGACTTGAGCCCTGCCACTCAATGGGAGAATCAGCAGAACCTGTAGGATCTTATTTGGAATTGACATTCTCTATTGTAATTTTGTTCCTGTTAATTTTTAAATTTTCTTTTTGTTTCACTGGAAAGGAAAGATGATGCTCAGTTTCAAATGTTGAAAGTGTACAAGTTGCTTTGTTACAATAAAACTAAATGTGTACACGAAGGAAAAAAAAAAAAAATACAAAAATTAGCTGGGTGTGGGGGCGTGATGGCGCATGCCTGTAATCCCAGCTACGCAGAAGGCTGAGGCAGAAGATTTGCTTGAATGCAGGTGGTAGAGGTAGCAGTGGGCCAAGATTGCGCCACTGCACTACAACCTGGGCAAGAGAGCAAGACTCCATCTCAGAAAAAAAAAAAAAAGAGAGAGAGAGAAAGAAATGGGACTGGAGCTCCCCAAGCTTGGGAAGCAGTAGGGAGGGGACACTGACGGGGATTCTCCCTGCTACAGCAGTTAGGAGCTGCTCCCAAAACATTCACTGACAGGCCTAGCCAATTGCCCTTAATGACCTTATTGTGGCATTTTGATAACAACTTGTGGTTGGCTCAGTGGGTACTAGGTCTCTCACAATGCATCAATGAGGCCTCTTATAATTTCTCCAGAGGAGAAATTCAGGGTCAGCAATCTGGTAGGAAGGAAGACTCCAAGATGTGCCTTGCGGACAGGGTATATATGGGAACTCTGTAATTTCCATTCAACTTCACTGTGAACCTAAAACTTCTCTAAAAATAAAGTCTTTTCAAACACACACACACAACCGGGAATGGTGTCTCATGCCTGTAATCCCAACATTTTGGGAAGCCAAGGCGGGCAGATCACTTGAAGCCAGGGGTTCAAGACTAGCCTGGCCAACATGGTGAAACCCCATCTCTACTAAAAAACGCAAAAATGGCCGGGCGCGGTGGCTCAAGCCTGTAATCCCAGCACTTTGGGAGGCCGAG